CACTTGCTTTTGCATAATAGTAATTGTTTAATTTCCACCTGTAAGCTTGGGAACTTAAACTTTTCACCCCTGGATGTGGTTTTCCTGTATAAATCTTGCCCTAAAATGGCACGGGGCTGCACTTGGGACTCCAGTGCCCAGTGTAGTCACCAGCCTGGCTAATAAAGACTCTCCTTTTTGGCAATTTTCTCTTTGAATTGTCTTCTCTGATGAATCACTTCATAGCAAAATCAAGAGAGAGATCAAGAGAAAAGTCTACAAATCTCCAAAGAAAGAACAACTAAATAGAGGGATATTCATCTATTGATAGGAAGACAGAACTATCAAGAAGCCAATTCTTCTCAAATTAATCTATAAATTCAATTCAATTTCCATAAAAATATTAGCAATTACCTTTATTCTTACTGAAAAATGATTTGAAAGTTAATATAAAGGGGCAAAAGATCCTTACTGGATGAAACAATATTGAAAGTAAACAAAGTTGGAAGACTGACATTACTCTACCTTAAGACTAAAACTATGTGAATCAAGACAATACTACATAGACCAAAGAACAGACAATAAATCAGTGGACCAAATAGAGAACTTGGGCATAGACCCATCTAAACACAATCAATTGATCTTTGAAACAAATTGAGCAAAACTAGTGCAGTGGAGCAAAGACAGTCTCTTCAACAAGCAGGGGTGGAATAACTGGAGATGCACACATAAAGAATGCAATTAGACACACACAGATCATACATCTCCCATAAAATTAGTTCAAGATATATACTTACATATAAGGATTTGGTGCTAAGATTCACAAATGAGGGATAACTTGTTTTTCCTGTCTGTGTTACTTCACTTAGAATGATAATTTCTAGTTTCATCCATTTCCCTGCAAATTTCATGATTTTGTTTTTCTTTACCACTGAGAAGAACGCCATTGTGTAAATGTACCATAGTTTCATTATCCATTCATCAGTTGAAGGACATTGAGGTTGTCTCCATTTCTTAGCTATTGTGAAAAAGGCAGCAACAAAAATGGATGTACAAGTATCTCCACAGTAAGATGAGTCCTTTGTATGCAACCAAAGGAGCCGGGAAAAAGGAAAGGAACCAAGGAGGTAAAGGGAAAGAAAGAGCCTGAGGGAGATCATAGGAAACTGATGTTACCAAGGTGGAAATGGGGAAAATGAGAGTATTCAACTGGGAAGGGAGGAGGGAAGGATATACAAGGAACAGTGGGAGTAAAGGAACACAAAGGGGCCCAAGAAAGGAAGCGATAATAGGAGAGATATTATCAAGGGAAAATGGAGAAAATGGGGATACTTTAACTGGGGAGGGATGAGGGAAGTTAAGCAGGGAGGGAGGGAGGGAGAGAGATGAGAGATAGAAGAGATAAATAAGGCTCAGGTGGTGTTAAAAACCAAAGAGAACTGTATTAGCTCAAAAAACCAAAACAAAACAAAAACCTACTGAAAAACACACATACAATACCTCAACATGAGTGTATGTGTATATCTGAAGGCTATATAACAGACATAGTTAGACAGAAGAAACCTCCCTTCAAATTGTTGGTCGGGGTAGTCCAAGAGACTGCCCAAATAACACAGACTATTGCCTCAGTCCTTGATTACCTCCTAGAACTTGAAGGTAAGACCCTATTGTTGAAGACAGGACATACCTTAGACACACTTAGAGCACTGGAGATGGAACTGACCTGGAAACTTCCTCCTGAAGACTAGCTCTCATAGTTCTAGAGGAATCTATGCAAGCTGCTAAGGGAGAAGATCAATCAGTAGTCCAACCCCAGTTTCAAAGCCTAATAACCACAACCATGACTGGCCCAACAAACTATAGCAGTATGGTAGTGCAACTCTTTTTCTTGGGGGTAATCAACAGCCATCTAATTGGACTCAAATAGGAGGGAATTCGTGGGTGGCACTATAAATATAGCTAAAAACACATGGCTGGAAAGGCCATAGATCCTAGGGAAAACCCTATGTCTGTATCCCCAGACAAATGTAATTTCTTACTGTATGTGAAATATGCATTCTTATATTTACAGACAGATATACCATTCACCATTCATCAAAGAAGCTTCTTTCTGCAACAGACGGAAGTAGTTATGGAGTTCCACAACTGGTCAAACACAGAAAATATGTGTCTGAGAGATGCCTAGCCCTAAGATACACATCTACAGTGGAATCTCTACACCTAAAGCTCATGGCACATAGAAGAATGGGGGTAGAGAGAATGCTAATGCATCCCTCACCTCTCACCCCAGCAATGCTTCCTGATGCAAGAGTGTGATGCACACAGAAGGCCACAACTGGCCAAGGTATAGAGAATGAGACTGCAGAGTGCATATCCCTGGTTAGGACTTCTATATTAAACCTCAACCACCCATGGCTCAGGGAGTAGAAAGATTATAAGAACCAGGGTTGGTGTGTGAACATAAGGAAATACAGACTTTTCAGGCCTCTGGGAATTTTCTCATATGAACTTACAGCAATGGTGACTGCATGCACAAGACCCATGAAGATTCAATCAGACAAAAATCAACCATAGAACTGAGGAAATAGGCAACAGCCTCCAACGTTAGCCAAGGAGCTATTGGCAACTGATTATTGCTGGGTGAGGGAGAGTTGGTCTTCTTTAAGGGAGTGATTCTAGATAGGCTGATTAGACTCCAATGGATGAACTTTCCCCAAGGGACATCTGAGTACAAAAGTTTGACTTTATAGGCCTTAACATATGTGACAGAATGCATGAAATCTGATGTGGGGGTTGGGAGGTGCAGAAGGGGGAGGGGGTTCTAAATATGATTAAGATGTATGAAATGCACAAAATTCAATAAAATATACATTAAGAATAAAAATAAAGACAATGAAATTTGATAAAAAGTTTTAAAATCCTTTTCACTTTAAAAATGTATTCTTTTGGATTTGATTTCATTTTAAAAATTAGCTCAAAACAGGAAAACAAGTTAAAGCAAGAATTTTAGGGCAGTAAAAACATTCTACATGACAGTATAATCATGGATACATCTTATACATTAGCTAGAATGTGCATCACCAAGAACAAACCCTAGTGGAAACTATAGACTTTAACCTACAATATGTCCATGTGGTTTGTCAATTATAACAAACAGAAATCTGGAGGGAACATGGGTAGCAGAGGTTTATGCATTTCTTGTGATAAGCTGTATATTGAAAAATGGTGCTTTCTGGTCAAATTTGCTATAAACCTAAAACAAGCCCTTAAAATAGATAAGTAAAGGGGCATTAGTATACTGTCATGTAG